GCTTTAATAAAAAACATATAACATCTATTAATTTAGATATAATATATCTATTAGCCGTAACTATCTTGTTATAATTTTCAATATTTATTTTATATTGTTTACTAATTTTTTAAAATTTTTTTATTTTATGAAACTGTGTCCTTTTCCATATTTTTGACTTATTAAACACTAATTTTTATAGTGTATTTTGAAGACACATGGCAAATTTTCATCAGTTATCTTTATTTAGTTGATATGGTACATCATTTTTGTATGTGTTTTGGGCTGTGCCCCTCCTCAGTCAACTTGTATTTTCTCTTCATGTCTATAATCCAAATAATAAGTCAAAAATACAGAAAAGGACACGGTTTCATAAAATTAAACAAATTAGCAAAAACTAGAAATGGCAAGACTCATCAAACAAAAATGCAAAGAAGTCAACACCAGGATTATGGACATGAAGAGAAAATACAAGTTGACTGAGAGGAGCACAGCCCGAAACGCATACAAAAAAGATGTACCATATCAACTAAATAAAGATAACTGATGAAAACTTGTCATGTGTCTTCAAAATACCCTTAAACTTCAAAATACATTAGTAAACTTATTAAACACTAATAAAAATTAGTGTTTAATAAGTTTACTAATGTTAAATTCTATTCTGCTTTGATTTCCAAATTGCTTCAATTTTACAAAAGAATTGATGTGACATTTACGATTTTCATGTCTTTTGCCAGCTTTACTCAAATTATTTAAATCATCAAAGCCATTCTTATTCCACACATTAATTTTATTTGAAACTAGTAGGCAAGGTGAACAAAACAATTTTTGCATTTTTATGCATTCACAAAGCCATTTTATGTTTTCATAAATTTTATCATGAAAATGTCAAACAAATTTTTTTGTTGACGTATTTATATTTAATTTAGGCATTGGTATTTCTCTTTTAATAATGTGTTCTTTTTCATTATATGGTCTTGAGCCAAAATTTTTAAAATAAATTTTCAATATCACAGTTAAATTCTGAATCGCTAGCCATGATATAAGGTCTAAAATTAAAAATAAAATTATAAAAACTTACTTGGTGAAATAAAATGTGTGGTGAATATACACANTAATGTGTTCTTTTTCATTATATGGTCTTGAGCCAAAATTTTTAAAATAAATTTTCAATATCACAGTTAAATTCTGAATCGCTAGCCATGATATAAGGGCTAAAATTAAAAATAAAATTATAAAAACTTACTTGGTGAAATAAAATGTGTGGTGAATATACACACCTGGTACAAAATATTCTTCAATTGTATGAATATACTTTTAAAGAAAATTATAATTAAATATAGCTTTGTAAAGAAATGTACATAAAAATGACAAAATAATCTTTACTTTTTAAATCTTAAAACAATCCACTTAGTCAAATAGCTCCCTACGAGTGGCTAATGGATAAAATCAGAGACAGTCCTGGTAGATGTGCAGTGTGTGCATGCACGCAGGCTGCCAAATCCTGAGGGTGCCGATACTGATCAATGTCAAATGTCTCTTTTGTTGCATCACTAGTATACCTCAAAGGATATGACAGGGTTGTTGTAAATTTTAAATGTTTCTCACCATAGCTGTAAAAATCTACATATGTTAAACTTAATAAATTGTCCATCATTTGTTTTCTAACTAATTCCTTTTAGGACCAGGTATCCATGGAAATTTCCAAAACTTACAACTTTACAGTCACTCTCATTGAACTGGAAAAATTTCTGTCTTTATTACATCTAAAATTATGAATAAATCAGTCACCACTGTACTCAGCTAGAGATTGGTTCAGTTAAGCTTTTGTTTAAATAAAATTCTGGCTCTTTCAGCAGGGTTTTATTTATGTCCCTAATTCCCTAATCTCTTAATTATTTAACTACTTCTTAAGTAGAAATAAGTTGAAACCGGTTACTTTGTACTTGAATATTTGTAGTATTGGGAAAGAAGTGGAAAGACAAATTTTTATGAGAACAATACACAAATCATAAATTTAAGGAATATAAATTCTAGGGCTATTTTCTGTACCTTGTGTATCTCATTCATTAAGTTTAGTTGTAAATGATGCTGCCAAAGCAAAAGTTAATTTTTTAACATTGTACAAGAATTGTACACTTTTTTCTGCATCCCCTTATAGATGGAACATACTAAATCATAATATCACTAGTTTAACATTGAAATCTGTAAGTAATACAAGATGGGGGAGCATAATAAAAGCAAAATAAATACAGTGGTACCTCAGGTTACGAACGCCCCAGCATACAAAATTTTCAGGATACGACATGAAATTCAAACATATTTTTGCTCCACGATACGAACAAAAACTCACCATACGACGTTACATTAGTTCGCATTTTTCATTTGTTTTTCTTACTACAGTTATTTTTTTAAATGTATTACTTGGCTTTAATTTGAGTATTTTTTTCACGTTGGAACGAATTATTTGGTTTTACATGTAATCGTATGGGAAAAGATGATCCACCTTACAACATTTTCATGATACAATCTCAGTTTCGGAACGGATTAATTTCGTATCCTGAGGTACCACTGTATATCAAATATTTTAATGGATTTTTTTAAACTCCTGTCAACTATATAGAATTATCATAAAAACATACCAGTAAACTCCTGTCAGTTGGGTTAAGTTATAAATCTACTCACGATTCACATAATGGGGTGAGGGCAGTCAAATATCTAGCAGGCAGGTGGCTAACAGCCCAGAACTGGTCCTGGATAGAATCATTGGAAGTGTTATAGGATACTTTGGTATGTAGCATCCACCAGCTAAACCATGTGAGGTTGGTGCTCTGTAAAGCACGTACACAAATGCATATAATCTGGCTGCTTTATACCATTCAAATATTTTTGCTGTGGAAGCTGTCCTGTGTTTGACAATACAATGCTTCCATTGTGAATATATGAATTTATATTCGAATATATAATAGCAATCTTATCATTTTTTCATATGTATAGAAATTTGTAATAAGACACATAATGCAGTTATCATAAAATATTAATTTTAAGTAATTCAAAGTATGTTAAAATATAAAAATAATCGCTCAATATGAATTTATATTTTAGAAAATACAAGGGAAGCAGCACTTCCACTGCTTCCAAGGACAGCATGCCACTGCAAATAATACCATTTCTTCTTTGGTCTGTGGGGTTTATTTAATACCTTCTCCTTGTTTAATCTCTGATAAAGTAAAACACATTCTCTTGAAGGTGTTGATAGTTGGTTATTCAATTTTCTTAATAGTAGTATTCTACAATCTGTTTCCTGTTTCTGCAATGTAAGCCAAGCCTTCACTACAGTTTGTTGGTTACATATTTTCTTGGCAAAGTACAAAAATATGGTCCAAATAATGTTAAAAAACTGTTTTGAGTTGGAATGCAATATGAGCCTTAAGTTTCACTATTGCATTCTCATTTGGGACATTTATCTCAGAATGTTGATGCCATAAATAAAGAGCATGGTGAAAGATTTAACCAAGAAATTAAAATCATGGAAGAATGATATCAAAAACATTGGATAAATGCATACTGGCAGATTTTATGCACCTCTGGAGTTTTTTCTTTTTTGATGGACAAGAAGATTACTGCTGGTCCATCAAAAAAGAAAAAACTCCAGAGGTGCATAAAAGAAAAGCAATGAGATGACCATTCAACAACAAAAGAGCACATTGTATGCTTACTGACTACATAATACTATATATATGTGTGTGTGTGTGTCTAATTTTTTTGTCCAAAACACTGAAAAATTTTAATAAATTTTGACTTATATAATTAAAATTACCATAGTTATTTTATTTTATAATAAACAAAACATTGATTGTCCAGGATGTTAATGCTGCTTTTAGCAAAATTTGTTAAATCTATTTTTGAAGTATATGCTGAATTTTTTGATTCTAACATATTTTGATTTTAGGGTCATCCATAAAAAATGTCATGCTATTTTTGATGAATTTAACTCTTCCCCTTCCCTTCTCCATCCCTTCTCACATGTCACATTTTTTCAACCCCCCCTTTAAATAATGTCACATCAGTTCTTTTTTTTTTTTTTTTTTAAAGAAAAGTACAACAATAAGAAAAGGAATTCAGTTAAAGAAATTTTATTTACAGTGTAAATATCAAGTAGCTTACTCCAAATTTTTTTTTCACTTCCATGCACTAGTTAAGTGTTCTTTTATTGAAACTATACCAAGAGATGGTACTTTAGTTTCTGTATGAACACTTTCAGAGAGATTTTCCATGTCAATAAATTCTTTGTCAATCCATTCAATGTCTTTGGCAGAGTCATATACAATCTTCACCATGTCTTCTTCTTGTACAATCTCCCTCTGCCTTATGGGTTTTTGCGAATGCAAATATACGAGGTAGAGATGGCGCCATAACTCTCGTTGCCGTCATCTCTACCTCGTATATTTGCATTCGCAAAAACCCATAAGAGCGTACAACAGTTACGGGCCGTGGTCTCCCTCTGCCTTCTTGTTCAAATGGTAACAAGTCCAAAAATTTTGAAATAAGATATTTTATGTACAATTTGTCATGTTGATCAAAATTTCATCTATACATCTTTGGCATTTTTATTCCCATGCAAATGCCAACAGTCAGTAGCAGCTCTAGGGGAGTTTTGCAGTATTGATACTGAGAGATGCTGAATAAAAGAGCAATTCATGCACAATTTTATTATACAAAATTCAACCGTAACTCAAAATGTATGTTTAGTAAGCAGTGACATCATGCTGCCCTAAACCCCTTGTCACAAATTGTCACATTTCTTAAACTTCCCATCTTCCAAAGAGTGTGACATTATTTATGGATAACCCCTTATATATAATTTGTTCATATTTGTAATCAGAGCAAAAAAATTTTAAGCAGTAGAAAAATTTGACAAATGAATTTTGTAATCTTCATTTTGTATCATTATATTCCATTTATCATTAGAATGCAAGTTTATATTTATTGTACTTAAATAATAGCATGTTTATGCATACTTAATTTGTTTTCTTCAGTATTCCGCAATTCAACTCTTGGTATTTCTGGTCCCAAGCATTCCAGAATATAATATTTTGCATTCTTGCTAAATATAGCATTATTATATAGACAACTTTTTCCAATATCACAAGTCAGACAGCTTACTTTTTTAGATATGTTTGCATTCATATCTGTTATGGAATACAAGTGCTGCTGCCCAATTTTGTTTGCAGAAGCAGCTAAATAGTATCTGTTAAAGAAAAATTAATTTTTATGTTGTTTATATTTACAAATTTTTAAAATTAATAATACTTATCAACTTACAATTTATGATTATTACTTTGATGAGTTATGATATCAATAACATCAAATTTCCCATTTGTAAGAACATCTTTTCGTTTACCCTAGAAGTACTTAATTATTAATATTTTTATATTCATATCTAAAATAGAATATGATTAATATACTAACATTTATATCCCACATTACGATATGAAAGTATCTTCCAGCTTCACCCTCTGGAATAGGCATTCGAACAAAATAATGGTTTTTATCACTGGTAAATAATGGAGGTCTGTATACATCTGATATCCATCCTCTCCCATTCATATCTTCTTGAACACTCTAATTTAATTGATGATAAAAATTTATGATATGAGTAAAAGCTACTTAAATATTAGCTTATCAGTTATTCTGTACTGAATTAACTAGGTTATGGTTAAGTAAGGTGTTGAAAAAATAACAAGAGATAAAGATGCCTTTAATTCTTTATTATAATTAAAAACAACTCAATAAGCCTGATTTTTGATTAAAGCTAGCATAGTGCTCTGTCACTTTGTTAAATGCTTTCTTTGTGTTGTGGTTGTAATAAATTTTAACAGATTATCGTTTGGTTTAATTCAGGTCAGGTTATATTTTGTACAATAAATTGCGCCACTTTCCGTTTTATGTTGGATACCACGTTTTTTTTATGTTAATGTACCTAGGCACACTGATTGGTAGAGGGATTGATGATGAATACAACCCATGACGTCAGATGTCAAGTGTTATAAATACTGGTCCTACTGGACACCTACTGTCTACCAGAGAACAACTAAGAAAGGCACAAGTTTTGTCGACTATAAGAGAATAACCAAAAAGTGTTTTTTTTTTTTTTTTAAGGGAATGAGAAATCCGTTCACATCCAAGGATAGTAGGATGAGATTGATGTGAAACTCATAGGCATCTTATATTACCAGGGAAAGGATATGTGTAAGACTTATTTCCTTTGTATGATTTCACAGTGACAAATTAATGTAGCACATGGGACAATATATATTTATATTATATTTATACAGCTATAAACAACTTCTGTATATGTTAATTATAATAATTAAGGATTAACTGATAGTCTTACGTATGAGAATCAATAAGCCTGTATGATCCAGAATTAAACTCATGTTATTGCCTCATCTGTATGAAAATATTGTAAAGTCCTTATTTGTTTCTTTGTTTGCCTGTTACCCTAGCTTCACACCCTGTATACCTAGGTATATCAGGGAATCAACACTAGATGATCTGCTGAATTATTGAGCTATGATTAGACTAAGTTAATAATTAAATATGAAATAATTTGACTATTTTATTGAGATTCAGATTATAAATGTATTCTGTTGCTTTTTTCTTAATTTGTAAACCAACTAAGTGATTTAGGCTTGATAGTGTTTCATCAGAACGTTTTTCATACCATAAGTTCATTTTATAAGAACAATAAATAAGACATACTGTATATACTAATGTATATATAGTGATGTAGCCATCACCAGCAGTTAAATGTTAATACTGTTGAAAATTCTTGTGGATATGTCAGATATATGTCTGATTATACAAGCACTATAGTCATCAGAAGTATTTCACCAGTGGTTAATTGTCAAAGCATTTGAATATCACTTGATAGATGCATCAGTTACAAGTATAACAACACCAGGGGTGGCAAACTGTGGCACGTAAGGAGAAATCATTTGGCATGTAACGTATCATATGATTTCAATTTATCATCTGGGTTTTTCAATCATCCATTTGATTTATCACCTGATCATCCTTTTTTTTTAATCAGCTTCTTTACAGTTATTCTAATTAAAGCATATTTGTTTAATTTCTTTAAATATCACTATTCAAATTCTAAAACTTTGGCATGCATAAACATCTTTAAAGTTAAATATGCTTACTATATGGCATGTATGCTCAAAAAGGTTTGCCACCCTGAACTATACTGTAGTATCAGATATATCCCACTAATAGGTGACTGTGAACTCATTTGAACATCACTTGAGAATGTATTCATTACACAAGTAATTATGTAATACTGAAAAGGAATGACTAATATGGTGTGATTCAAAATGCATTTATACTAGAGAGAGAGTAATAAAAAAATGTATCAGTGCTAGCATGGTTACTTGATTTGCTGCAGTTCTAGACAATTGACATTTGGAATGGACCTATACCAAAATCAGTTGGTTTACAAATTAAAAAAAAGCAACAGAATATATAAATAATTTGTCTAGAGCAGCAATTCCCAACCAGGACTACACATACCCCTTGGGTATGCTCTTGGTGGTTTAGGGATACATGAAAAAAATTAATAATGGCAGATGTACACTCATTGCCATAAAAATTAATGCACCAAGAAGGAGTTGTCAGAATTTAATGAAATTGTACATGTGTGAATGTAATGGTAATATAAATAAGTGATTACAAAATGAAAGCAAAAGGATCATTTATTGCAGGAAAAACTATAAATGAAAGGAGGTTCTAGTACTTTGTTGGGCCATCTCTAGCATGAATACAAGATATGATACAGGTGGGTATGCAGGCATACAGATGCTGCTTGGTGTCCTGTGGCATCTCAGTCCACAATTGCTATAAGTAATCCTCTAGTTCGATCAAACTCCTAGGCTGTCCAACTTGGCATCCCAGGTAATCCCAGACATGTTCAATTGGTGACAAATCAGATAACTGGGCAAGCCAGGGAAATATAAAAATGTGGCAGAGTCAGTCCTGTTACACTCTTGCTTTGTGTGGTCAAGAATTGTCCTGTTGAAAATGGCTCTTGGGAGCCCTGCCATGAGAGGCAACATGTGGCTGCAGGATGTTACTAACATACTGCTGGGCTGTCATGGTCCCTTGGATCATTACTAGAGGTAACTGGCTATCACATGTGATGGCATCCTAGACCATTACACCAGCTGTGGGATCAATGTGCCTTTCCAAAGTGTAGGCAGGATTGAGGCATTTACCATGGAGCCACCAGACACAAACACAGCTGTCTTCAGTGCCCAAACTAAATCTGGATTTGTCACTGTAGATAACCCAGTTCCATTCTATTGCGATCCAATCCCATCATGAGTAACACCACTGCAAATGGAGATGACAGCAAGTAACTGTCAATGGCAGCACACATAATGGTCACTACAATATCAAATGTTTCTCACCCAGGTGCCTTGAAATGGTACAGACAGACACAGAGGCCTGTAATAATGATGCCACCTATGTCCAGATAGTGGACAATGATACAGTTGGCTGTGTGTTGTGTGTGTGTGTGTGCTCGTTGGAGGACCACATGGTCCTCTGAGCTAATGGTCTGCCAAAAGTGTCCCTGAACTGTCTCTCATCCACTGGTCAAACACTTCCAACTTGCCTAGTGATGGGCTGTTTGGCAAAATGAACATCTGGCTTCTCTAAACCCAATGATCCTTCCCCTCTCAAACTTGGTTAGTTGTTCATTGGTTAGTTGGTCTTTGATTGCAACATAAACTAACCTCTCTCACAACTCTCATTCTGAGCCTTCAATAAACATCTATACTGATGGGTCAAAAAGTGATAATAATGTGGGCTGCAGCTTTGTCACCTATCAGAACAAGATGGCGATCTTTCATCACAGGGCCCGCTTGCATGGCAGCTGCTCTGTCTTCCAGTCGGAGCTGCATGCCATCAAGTTGGCCATTAAGTGGTGCACCATGAACTACCATAACTTGAACGTCACACTCCATTCGGACAGTAACTCTGCTATTTCCCTCCTTCGTCGCAAGAATCTCCACCCCATCACACAAGAAATCCATGAGGCCGTCAAATACACTGATAATTCTATCAGTATTATCTGGGTACAAGCCCACTAGGGCAACACTGGGAATGAGCGGGCAGATGCCCTGGCCAAATCTGCGGCCACTGACGAAACTTTACCAATAGACTACAGCAAATTTAACCTACATACTATCAAAAAGCTACTATGGACTGATCTTCACACCAACTGGCAAAACGACTGGGACTTAAATCAAAATATTACATATAAATTTTTTCTGGATATTTCTGCAATATATGCTTATAGATGGATCACACCCAACTTTCAGTTAATGCAATTTCTGACCAACCACGGCCGCTTTCACTCGTACCTTAAGCATTTCGTCAACCCACAAAACAGTGGCCTCTGCCCTATTTGTAATATGCAGGATGGCAGCCTCCATTACATTCTAGACCAGGGGTGTCCAACCCGCGGCCTGCGGGCCGCATGCGGCCCAAGGCAAGTTCCAATGCGGCCCAATAAACGTGTAAACAAAACCGACAAAAATGTTTTAATTTTTTTATTATTTATCCATTTCAACGGCATAAACTCAAAAAAAAGTTTAACAAAGCCGTAAACCTTTATTCGTATTTTATTCTTGAGTGGAAAGGAAATATTTTCAAATACTTAGAAATGTGTGAATGAGGAAGGATTACTAAATGAAGCTGGAGTTGTGACTCAAAGGATTATAGACCCAAATTTGGGAAAAGGAGGGAGCGATGAGAAAAAACAAAAGATGTAGTAGAGAAAGGTTAAATAGATCTTCTGTTGACCCTTAATTTTCCAACCTTTCTCACTTTTTTATCTTTTATCCTTTCTCTCCTTTCCCTGAACTTGGGTCTATAATCCTTTGATTCACAACTACAGCTTTATTTAGTATTTTTTCCAACGTTGCAAGATTTGGCTACATTGCGCCATATGTGGCTACTTTGTTTTGTTTGACGTAAAAAATCATTTAGCGCTTTGGCTACTTTTTGGGCTACATATTATTTATAATTATATTAGTTGAATAAAAATGCACTTTAAAATGGTGTTTCGTCGCTTTTTATTAATTAGAGAATCAAATAAAACAAATATTTGTGGTTTTCAAATAAATTTCCGTTTGTCTCTTTTATAATAAATGAATTTATCTATTTCTAAGTAAAAATTGAAAGTGTCTGTAGAAGTAATTTTTAAAATATCCTTTTTCTTGATAAAGTTTTAATACTTATTATTATAATCTAGACATGTTAATCCTTAAATATACTTGTATATTGGGCCACAAGTATATATTATATGTACTTGTGGCCCAAAACTCCTTGACTTCTTCCAATGCGGCCCAGAGAAACAAAAAGGTTGGACACCCCTGTTCTAGACTGTGCCATGTTGGAGCCTGAGAGATCACAGCTTCGCATCCTCATCAACCACAAGCATGGCCACTGGCCAAAAAATAATCACGAATTTTTGAATGACCTGATAAACAATATGGACACCTTCAACCAATTTGTACAACTCATCTACCAGTACAACAGGAGGGCAGGGTGCCCCATTGTTATGTAGTGCGTTTTTCGTGAGCGATTCGACTGTCTTTTTTGGCGCTTTTCACCTGTGTTCTGGTCAGCTAGCTCTTTTGTAACGCCTTATTTACATTTCCACGGGGAAGCAGAGTTGCACCTTCCCGAGGTCCTGCCCGTAAGTAACCCGAAAGGGTGAAACGAAGCAACTCCTGCGTCTTTTAGCAAACATACAAACAGTCCTCTTCAGGACTATGGCCAAAAGGCCATACGTCTCCGAATCGGAAGACGAGGTGTCTTCCCAAGGAGAAATGGAACTGGTTGAAGAAGATGAGAGAGTGAAGATAGCAGAAAGCATCCGCGAAGAAGTTAAAAATTACATGACCGAGAATCACAAGTGTAAACTCGGAACAGGTGAACACATTTCTTATGTATGTGGTCAAATAGACAGACTTATTGAACTTCTAAGACAGAAGCCAACTAATCAGCTGCAAGATGCAGTAGAAAGTTTACATAAGAAGATAGATAGTTCTACAGTCAAAAGAAAGCACTAGGCCAAGCTATGCCCAGGTTACAGCACAGAAAATCACAAGACGAAGAAAGGAAATACTCCTGGTGGATCCAGAGAATGATAACACAGATGCTGAAAACACCAAACAGAAGCTAAAGAAGAACATAAATCCCAAAGAAATGGGAATAGGAATACAAGCCGTCCGCAAACTTAAGAGAGGAGGAGTAGCGATTGAAGTGGGATCAGCAGAAGAAAAGAACAAGCTTAAGGAAGTTATAGAATCAAAAATCGGATTAAAGACAAGAGAACCTTTTAAAAGAAAGCCACGCATCGTCTTATATGGAGTAGGAACAGAGGTGTCCAGAGAGGAAATTCTCGAGTGTCTATATGAACAAAATGAGATTATCAATAGCAACATGACGGAAACTGAGTTTCGCAATAAAGTAGAAGTGAGATTCCAATTTGGAAGTAAAGGCAAGCAATCAACCAATTGGGTAATTCAAGTGAGCCCTGACGTAAGAAGACTTATACTGAAAGTAAAGAAAATCAACCTGGGCTGGTCCAGGTGTGGAGCAGAAGATCACATATCCGTAACACAATGTTTCCAATGCTGCCGCATTGGACATATTGCAAAAGATTGTCAAGAAAAAGGGTCTATTTGTAGCCAATGTGGCCAGAGCCACAAATATAAAGACTGTACGCACAAAGAAAAAGCAGAGTGCGTGAATTGCAAGAGGGAAAAAATTAAAGATTTTAAACATAACGCTTGCTCAAAGAATTGTCCACTGATACAGAAAGTCAGAAAAATGTTGATCGCTAAGACCGACTATGGGGAGTGATCCCATTGAGACTGTGAATGATAGAATGTTAAAAATAGTACAAGTGAATGTGCAAAGGTCAATCAGTGGAACATCAGCACTTTGTAAAACACTTGAAAGAGTGGATATGGCTATTGTACAAGAGCCATATTGCCAAAGAGGAGTGCCAGCATGCCTAAGGACAATATATAAAACACTTTTTAACAGGGACTTTCACCCATCTACTGCCATCATAATAAGCAATCCAAACGTCCCGGCGATTTTTCATTCAGAGGAGAGTAACCAATACTTAACCTGCCTTGAAGTTGGAAATGGCCTCGATAACTACTTTTTTTATATCTGCCTACAGCCCAAGAACAAATGACTTAAATCCTATTTTACACCAATTGGATGTACTTGTTAAACGCTTTAAGCATAAACACATCATCATTTGTGGTAATCTAAACGCGCATTCGGAGTTGTGGGGAGACCCGAACAACGATGAAAGAGTGAGCCAAATAATTGAATTTATAAGCGCCAATGGCCTATATTTATTAAACCAACCTGACTCTTTACCAACTTTCGTTGCTGCTACCGGTCAGAGTTGGATTGACCTGACCATGTGCAACGGTAAGGCCTTAAATAAAATAATGTCTTGGCAGGTATCACCACTATGCAGTCTTAGCGACCATAGTTATATATTCTTTGAAGTCGGTGTTAACAAGGGAATGATAGGTGAAGATAGTAAGCAATTTGCCATAAGCAGAGCGAACTGGCCATTATTTAAATCAAAAATGGAAGGAGTGATGAACATAGAAAACCTACAGAAATGCTACAACAAGAGTTTGACAGAGCAAACGATCATGGAATTCAATGAGAATCTACTACAAGCCTGCAGAGACAGCATCCCCAAGAAAAAGAAAACTCAAAAAGCAATGCCATGGTGGTCAGAGGAATTGACANTAACTTAGCCTAATCATAGTCTGATGATTTGGCAGAAAGCCTGACTTTATTATAAGATATTTATATTATAAAGTGATAACTGTCTAAATTGGAACCTGAATACACTGAAAACCTTCCAAAATGGAAAAATTACTTGATATGGAATGACTTTCTATGTTAAATTCTACTATAAGTCAGAAACTTGCCTAACATGAAAACAGAGGAGGTTTTTCATTATGAAGAATGGCCTAGCCCTAGATAAATGAGAAAATTAAGATGCCACTTTTAGACAAGTAAGTAAAATCTTCAGATATAATGGTCATTTGACAAACTGTACTTCCAAAATTATTTCAAATCTTGTCAGAGAAATGAAGGTCATATGATAAGGAGACATATGGACTGAGGGCTACAAGATGTGGAGCTGAAAATTTTCTGGGGGCCTGGAGAAAACTTAGAGGCCTGTAATAGTTCCTGTTTGTATAAATTATTGTTATGTTTACTAGCAAAAAATAAAATCTTTACAGCTGCATTTTATTAATAAAGGAACATTCCATGTATTTCATTTATTCAAAGAAAAAATAGCAAGAGATTTGTAAAAAAGTAAAAGGGGTCTACTCTCCTCCCAGGTCCCATATAAGCTCTCAACATGTGAAGAGCTTATATGGATCTCATGAGCTTGGTTTGATAGGGCCGTCACGACAGCCATGTACAGGTCAAGATCTGTGTTGGAATTAACCAGGATTTTGGAATCGAACACTTGTAAGAATCAAGTTCTCAAGAACAAGCAATGAATTTAATTTGTAGAATAAGTTAACACATGTTGCCGTTTTTCCTTGTACAGAGTAGTTAGCAACTAACTAGTACAAAGTGTTCAAAAACAAGTTGAGTAACTTGTTGAATTACAAACTTAACTTTAATAACTTTGTATTTTGAATTCCAGTTGTAATAGATTGTAAAAATTTTAATAAAATATTTTTTAGAAGTGTTTCTTTGAAATAATACAGTATTTTTACAAACATTGCCAACAGAATCAAAATATTCTACATTTTCTTTGACTGATGTCTTTCAAAAATGAAGAAAATGAATGAAAGTGTCTTATTAAGCCTCTGCCTTAAAAGGTTTTAAGAAATCTCTAAATCATCATAATTGAAACATCTTTAGCATGTTTATAGGTGAAACATTATGATGTCCTTCAGACATTTTGAGGCCATCTGTTGGAAAATATAGGATTGTCATAAGATGTCATAATACTCAGAGTCTGACATCTTTTGAAGTCATAAGAATGAACTGTACTGTACATGTAAATTAGAATTAAAAAAGTTTGGTAAATGAGAATTTGTTATAGTAATGCTTATGAAATGTTAAAAATTTCACATTAAATTATTTATTAACATAATTTACAAATAAAACTCACTTTTATGCAGTTCCATTTCTGATTTTCATAGCAAATACTAATTACTGATGAATTCTGAAGTCTACGTAACCAAGTTATAGATAATCTATTGTCATCAACCCAGTTCACGGATGTAAAGTAATATCTAGAATAGTTTAGAAAATTTATTTTTATTAATTTAAATTTAAAAAATTTCAATTAAGTATAAAAGCACTTTAACATTTTAATAAAGATTTTATAGCATATTTAAAAAACTTCTAATGTAGAATTAATTTTATTGCTAAGTGCATAAAGTATATATTAACAAATATCAGCTATCAAATTCATGACAAAAAATATTTATTTAAATATACATTGTAAAAAGTTTGTGTGTTCACTGTATTATTAAAAATTTATTAACACAAATTCCCGTAATAAGGTCATCAAAATACATCTAAACTCAATGGATGTAAAATGATCCTGTTTTCAAGAGTCTTTTGAATATAGAAGTAAACTATTGGTAATTTATACATTTTGCTATATTCTGTCAGTTCTAATACATACTCTTGCAATATAAAAACATAAAAATACTTTAAGAATAATATAGAAATATATTTCTGCTTTTATAATTTCTTCAATTAATTAGTTCTTGGAAAATCATTGTTAAGCAAGCTATTATTGTATGATGAGTAGCCCTTCTTAAGTTGAAGTTTTTGGTTTAGTCTCTTTTAGGTTGAGAGTTTTTTTCAGGTTCAATATCATAAATTAAGTTTCTTTCTGAAAATATAATTTTAACTATATAACATCATATAGAGAGATGGCCAACAAAAATATAGCACTATACAATGATAATAGAGAACTTAAACCAGTTGTAAAGAGAAATTGTATATTTCTTCATCATTTAGCTTTTAGTCAGTTGTTAATCTTACTATGTTGTGAAAAGTAGTAATAAAAAAAAAGAATGTAAATATTTAACAGTCCTTGCTTCATCTCTCTTATTTCCATATTCTCTATTTTTTTTTTTTTTTCTTTTCAATTTTCCTTTCCTTCTACATTAAGAAAGAAGAAATGAAAATAGTAAACAAAGTTAAATTTTTAGGAATAATATTTACACCTAATTTATCATTTGAGAAACATTATAAGAGTACAATAACCAAGGCAAAAAACTTTACAAAATAATACTACTAGATTATTAATTAAGTCAAAATGAAGAACATGCAAATTCAATTTCAACTTTTCAATTCAATTGTTATGAATTCAATGGGATATGCTTCCCCAATTTGGAGCATAGGTAAATTTGATGAATTAGAAAAAATACAAAATATATTCATTTGTAGAATATTCCAATTGGAATACAATATCGTAGGCAGTGCACTACGATTAAAACTTAATAGATATAAACTAAATACAATATTGATAAAAAGATATATTAATTGGCTACAAAAAATAATAACTTCTGGAGACTTAACAATGAAAATACTGTATTTACTATATGATAAATCAGGAGATATGGACTTAAAACGTAACTGGATAGTACAACTATCAAAGATTTTAAATACATATGGATTTTCTATGGAATTATTTTTGGATCAGACTAACAGTTTTGAACAACAAAGTAAGCTATTAATACATAGAGTAATGGAATATTCCATCGTACAAGATATCGAAGACATTCAAAAAAGAAAAAACAGTAATCGGTATAAAATAATTTTAAACTATCCATTAATCAATGATTATATGCTAACAAATCTTGCATTTAATGTTAAAAAATTCTTTATACAATTAAGATTAAATCAAAATGGAATAATGCTAGGAAATAAATACAAAGAATATTTGCAATCCAAATGCTCAAATTGTAGTATACCATTATCAAAAATACACATTTTTAGTGAATGCGACAATGAAAACTAAAATGATCAAAGTTCTGAAATTAAGCAGATAGCCAACTGTACGAATGAAATTGATATGTACAAGATATTGAACAGAGCAAATGTTAACACTATCTTTAATCTTTATAACTATATGAGGAAATTTTTCAAATAATAAATGGTTATTCAAGAACTAAAACTGAAATATATGTTAGATACTAAGATATAAATTTTATGTTAAGTTATTGATTGTAAAGTTACAATAATTTATGTTAAAATAGCACGTCCCTGTAACAGGCGAATGCCTAATACGTTAAATAAATTTGTTGATGTTGAAAAAATTTCCTTTTTTTTTTTATTTTTTGGATTTTCTTCAGTTGGTAGAAAAGATTAATGAGGAATTAAAAAGATTAAGAAGAGCAGATTAAAGGACACACAACACAAAACCAAAACCAGCACTGTGAAAAAAATTTACTAATGTTTTTGTCTATATAAAAATAGACATCATCAGGTAAAAACAATATAGAACAAAACAGCTAACAAAAATCAAATGCTTTTTTTCAGATGTTCCAACTGATTACAGTATGTAATTAGAATACATTGCGTTTAAAATTTATATGTTATGTTCGGGAAATAATTTCAAAATATGTATATTATTTAAATGATAAACGAATAAATAATCAATTAATTTCTCATTAATGTTCTTGGAAAGTTAAAGGACTTCTGAGATCAGAAAGAAATAAGATACTGAAGATTTCTATATGATGGCAGAACGAATAATTGTTCCAGATGAGGAGTTAAGGTAATGTTAACTAGTAGTCCATTTAAAAAGGAAGAAAATGGACCAAGATATAGTGATTATTAGGGAGGTAGAAATCCTATTACTGAAAATCTTGATTTCAGGGTTGGAAGAAGTAGACAGAAAGCAAATGAAAAGGCTGATGGCAAAGAAAATTCAAAATAAAAGAATAAAATTATTTAAAATTGTTTTCTTGGTAAAGGTTTTCACAGAGTCTTGAATTCAAAAATATTTTTATGCTTTGTTGCAAATTTAGTTTCATTTTAATTATTCATATTTTGATATTTCATTATTTTTAACATGTTTTAAAAAATCTACACCTTAAATATCTCCATCAAATACTATTTAATGCACAAAAACATTTTCAGTCCAGTTTATGAATCATCCTTAGTTTTAGAACATACAACAGTAATTAAACATACAAACTTTAAATGAAATAAAACAAGTACAGTTTAAATTTACAAATAAAAATATAAATGATGGAGAATAAAAATAAAATAAACAACATAAAACAAAATTTAAATATAAAAGACAAAATGCAAAGGCTAATAACAATACATATATATATATATATATACATACTTTGTTAACAATAAAAATAAGATGGGAAAAAAAAACATTAACCAAACTAAGCTAGACTTTGTAAATTGATTTCCACACATTCTTTATCTAATGCTGGACTCTCATTTTTTGGAGAATATCCACTCCTAGATCCATTCAACTTTCTTCTGTTGTATGAATGAGAGAATTTCCCTGTTTCTATTTCTTTGTCCTCTATTTTCACCCTCATGAAAAATGACACTATGCCACTAGCTTATAGAATCTAACTGTACTGTTGCTAATACAGTAGCAGAGCCGGTCCTACCATAGGGCGAATGGAGCAGCCTCAGCGGTAAAGAAAATTAAAGGGTATAAATTAGGGGCAACCAATGGGGGTGCCATAATAGGATCTTGCTCCATCCTAAAACTTGCCTCGAGTTGGCACTGTACAGTAGCACATCATTATATCACTGATTCAGACATATCGTGCTTTTTTGGTCCCCCAAATTTTAAAAACACTTGAGTCAATACATTTTAAATCATCAATTACCATTGAATTACTTTTTGCAACAAAATATGTATGGTATTTTATTCCTATCATTGTCCATGAAACTATCACTGCAGGTGAAACAATAAATTCATCAAGATCTAAATAAGCAAAACAGGTGGACAGATCAATTATCATTTATATTTCCTTTTGATATTAATTAAAAGTTGTTTATTTATTGGTTTTAAGTACTGTCAATTCACATAAAGATGTGAAATTTCAAATTCACTGCATAATGTATAAGGAAAAGATTTCTTTACTTTTGAATGAAAAATTCTAAAATTTTTATACAGTAGTAACTTTATTTTGGTTTTTAGAGAATTTTTACTCTAATTTTATGTTTTGATGCTCTAAGTTCAATATTTATTTTTTAAATTTTCAATTACTGTACAGTATTTATAATTTTTATTGAAAAATATAAATTACACAAATTTTTAATAAGCAATTTATTATGAAATATAGCACTGTATAATAAAATTGCAACTGATATTTTGTTTTTATATCTACAGTATTTGTCTTTAATGTCACTGCTAAAGAAACAATAATGCTAAATGGAGGTGTTCACACACACACACTATATATATTATATTATATTATATTATATATTACATATTATATATTAATATATTATATATATTATAAATGTAAACAAACTTACGAATCTACATAATCTTCAGGAGGAGTAATTTTCTGTAAAGGTGGATTCGTTGTAGAAAGATCAATGACAAATAAAGTAACTGTTGGATTTGTTTTTCCTGGCTAGAATAAAAAAAAAAATATACTAGTAATTTATCCACAAAATTTGTTGATTATATTTAATTATAATTAAACTAAATTACCTTTGGATATCTCAAGTTTATAGGAGTAGGATAAACATTATTGAAATCTTTATATGAACCATACATTTGATATGTCATGATATCTACATTTGTATCATTAAATAAAGCAAAACAAATTTTGTTCCCACTGTCTGACCACCAAATAGCATTGTTACTTGATAAAATTTCCTCTAAAAGAAAATAATAAAATATTTTCTATTTGAATAATTTATAAAAACACAAAATATATTATTAAATCCCTAAAAATATACTTTTAATATTTATTATTACCTTCATAAACCCAATCAGGTATTCCATTAAAGATTTCACCATCTTTTCCTGTATTTGTGAGTTGCCAAGGGCTTGGTTCCAATGTTATTTGTGGTATATAGTAAATATCATTATTATATACATATATCTGGAAAAATAATTCAATACTTTATAAATAAAAAAATCCAATAACTTATTTTTTTCTTGATAAAATCTATATTTTATAAGTAAATAAGTCATAGAATATCAAATATATGACTTACTAATTGACTACCACTAGGTCCCCAAGATGCATATTGAAGTTCTATGGCAGGTGTTTTGGATAGAAGTGGAAAAACATGCCTAAATGCATTAATAAATAAATAAAGATATTTATTATCTATATTTATATAACTACATAATTAAAATATTTATTATCTATAATGTATTTTATAGTTACCCATCTGTCAAATCATATACAAGATATTGTGCTTTGTAGGAATGCCTATATTCCTAGAAATAGAAATAAAGAAATATTTTTTAAATTTGAAAATATGATTTTAGAATAAAAGCTAATATTTATACAGAATGACCATAAAATTTGGAAACATATATGACAATATTTTATTTCTCTGTCATTCATTCCAATTTTGCACAGTGCATTGAACATATCATGTCTTGTAACGCAATATCAATAAATAATTTATGTATATTCATTTATTGTTTTCAGACTTTATGGCTTCCTTGTATAGCTATTGAAAGTCAGTTATTTAGATGCATTGACAAACTTAACTTTAAGATACTTTACATGCTATTATGGTAGAATGTAACATATTGAAGATGGTTGAACAATTATGCTAAACATGTAATTAATAATTAATATGTAAATTTTCGACTATAAATTCGACTATCTTCTATTATCAGACTTATTATACTGGTTTTACAGATAATATTACAAAGATTATAAGTCCTGATAATAGAAGATAGTCAAATTTATAGTAGAAAATTTACATATTAATAAGGAAAAAAAGGACATTGAGGCAATTTAATTAAATGTAATTAATAAGTTAATACTTGTTCACTGGAAATTATTCATGCATAACTGACTGTTTTAAGAGTAAGATGATTGTTGTTTTTACATATTCTATGGTATGGTACAAATCATAGTTTGTAAACTATAGTATTCTTTCTGTGTGAAAGTTTTAACATTGATTACTTAAAATTATGATATTACTATCTGTTTAAAGCAAATGAAACAATAAGAAAGAAGATCATATAGTTTATTGCACTAAAATAACTTCAAATATAAAAATTTATAGTTGACTATCATAAGCATATGTGCATGAATAGAGATTCATGCACATATGCTCTTTCAGAATGTCTCTTATGATCTGTAACTTTGTAGATATTCTGCAAATGTATATGAATATACTGTGTATGTTGTTATGTGGCATTGAGTTGACACTGACTCCTGGTGACCTGATGGATAAGGTGCCTCCAAAGTATTCTATTCTTTATAAGGTTTGTCAGTTCATGCAAGAATATACCAGTGACCTGCTTTGTCTGGTCTATCCATCTGATTCCTTGTCAACCTCTCCTGTGGCTTCTTCTCAAGCATGATTTTTCTTTCTAGTCCATCATGAGCCTGCATCACATGGCCAAAAAAAGTCAGTCTCTGCTTAAGAAGTATGGCCTTAAGAGACATCTCAGACTTGATGGTTTCTAGGATTGAGATATTTATTTACTTTGCTGTCCATGGTATCCTTAGGAGTATTCTCCAATCCCATACCTTAAAGGAATCCAATTTCTTCTGCTCAAACTTTCTGAGAGTGTAGCTTTTGTATCCATACATGACAATAGAGAAGACAAGAGATCTTACTAGTCTAATCTTAGTCTTAATTGTCACATCCTTGTCCTTTATGGTAGGTTGAAGGTATGACATGGCTTTTTTTTGTTAGCAAGATTCTTCTCTTAAGCTCCTCTGTGCACTACCATCTCTGGTGATTATGACTCCAAATAATACCATCCTGTCCACAACTTCAATTATTTCACAAAACTGTGAAGTGGTCCTGTTGACATTACTTTTGTTTTCTATATGTTCAAAAATGTTCTTAGTAATAAAGTATATGTTTGTAATATAATCTTTCATAAATATCTAAGTATTATTGATCTTTTATAAACTTTGAAATTTTACATAATTGTTAAGAAGAATAAAAGGAAACTCAAAACTATTTGTTATTAAAGAAGCCAAAGATAAAATTTATTAGGAACATTTTTTTGGCCTACTGTTTGGACAGCTAACTACACACCCACT